CAGCCTGCCGGGTGTCAGCACACGGGAGCTCGGCCCTGCGAGGCCAGAGGGAGAAGGAAAGGAAAAAGCATCTTTCTTTTCTCTCTCACCGTCCTCAGAGCACAAGAGGGAGGGAGAGGAGGGTTTGGATAAAGATCCCATTCTTGACTGTCTCATCTCTAAAGCTCCTTTTAAACCAAAGGCTGCCCAGGTACGGCCTGAGCTGAGGATGTACCCATCCCTCCCAGCACACGGCTGCCCCGGGGTGGGCAGGGAAGGGACTGGGGACAGCTTGGGCAGCGTGGGCAGGGGTACTTTGGGCAACACAGGTTGTCAGCTGCAACCAGAGCGAGGGGCTTTGCAGCCACACGCATCAGCTGGGGCTTGGGCTAGGGGCTCACCAGGACCGTGTGCCCACTACCCCTGCAAACTGCCCTCGTGTGCTTCCACGGGTCTCACCCGCAGGCCAGCGTTGCCCTTTGGGGGTTGCACATACCACCCCAAAGTCGATGCGGTCCTGCCATCACCAGGTGACCCATGGGAGGTGGGAGAGCTCCCCTTCCACACCAGCCCTGCAGCCTGGGCAGCCACGCACCATTCTTCTTCCTCCTCAGCTTCTCCTCTGCATCTTCACTTTTGCCATGGTCCTGGTCCCTGAAGCAAAGGACCAAAGTAAGGCAGCGAAGGGCAGGAGAAGGGGCCTGGCACGGCCCCCCACAGCCACCCCTGCCCTTGCTTGGGCCCCAGATGACCCCTATACCACCATGGCAGACTACGAGCGCAGTATCCAGGACATGGTGCGCCAGCTGAGAAACAGCTCTGAGCCAGGTGACACCAAGTGCCAAGTCAACCTGAGGCTCTGGAGGTCCAACCGGAGGAGCCTGTCCCCCTGGGCCTACAGGTGAGCTTGGGGCAGGGACCTTGGGGACATGCATGGTGGCTCCGTGCCAGCAAGCACGGCGGGAGCCATGGCTCCAGCATCACGGGGCTGCAGTGGCTGCTGGGGGGTGCAATGTGACACAGCACCCCATTTCACTCTAGGGAAGCATTGCCCTGCCCATGCCCAGCCACCCACTGCCCCCTATGTCACTGTCTCTCCAGCCTCGTCTTGCTTTCCCTCTCCTCCAGCATAAACCACGATGCAACGCGGATCCCGGCAGACATCCCTGAGGCCCGATGCCTCTGTACTGGTTGCATCAATCCCTTCACGATGCAGGAGGACCGCACCATGGCCAGCATTCCCATCTACAGCCGGTTGCCCGTCCGCCGGCTGCTCTGCCAGGTGCCGGGTGAGGCGGGGCACCAGCCCTCTGGGAAGAAGTGTCACAAGAAGTACCAGATGGTCATGGAGACCATCGCTGTGGGCTGCACCTGCATCTTCTGAGGTTGCAAAGCTAACCCCTGCAACTACCCGTGGGCATCTAACCAGCTTGCTCTTGCTTTCCGAGCTTGCCCAGCCCTCTGGGAGAGGGTGACCTGGCTGAGCATCAGGGTGAGGAGAGCCCCTGTGCAAGGCGATGGCAGCTCCAAGAGCTCCCCAAAATTCCCTGGCAGAC